CATAGATGAATCATATTCTAATCTCATACTCTCTTTCATCCCAGCAGGACAAAGCAGATGCTGTACACCAGGAAAATGGCCAGAATGAGCCACTGAAAGCTGCCTTAGAAAGCCACAAGAAAGACAAGCCAGAGCAACTGGGACACTCCAAGCAGTCTTTTGCCTTCGACAACACCTCTTTGGACACCAGTGATATCTGATCACACCCTGCTTCCTCCTGGCAGAGGAACAGACACTTATGAGCAGGACTTGTATAGCAACATTGGCTGGGAGACATTGCGTCAGCAACTGTAAAGAAACTCACTGGGAATCCTTTTTAATCCATGACTTATGATTGTCTGCAAGCCTGCATCCTAGGCAGAAACGAGCCTGGCCCAAACTAGAGAGATCACACTGAGCAACAAGAAAGTGGAAGAGGTGGTAAGTGCTTACCATGCTAGGCAACACCAGTATTTTCATGTGTTCAAAAGGTACGATGCAAAATGGCTTGTGGGTTCGTTTTTTTAAAAAAACAATCAAGCAGTGTATAAATTTCATGAAATAAATAACATAATAAAAATTCCACCTCTTACTGGAAACAGGGCAGGGAGGGAATGGGGATTTAGAGTATTAGGTTGTATCCAACCGAACCTAGCACTAAGAGACGGTTTGTCAGCACAAGGATTTCTGCTTGCACACTGGGGTGTCCCCCCTCCCTGTGCATCCCCTAAATATGTTCACTCAACACTCTGGATAAGGTTTGGGAAGGGTGCAGGGTATGGGAGAAGGGGGCAAGTTTTGTTGCACAAGTGGAGATGCATGTATTGAATATCACCCAAAGCTACTAATCTCTGGGCATAGAACCTGTGCTGTGCAGTGCTACCACTATCCCTGCTAAGGTGATGTATCTTACCTTGTTTTTCAAGAAATCATGATAGACTGGTGGCCAGGTAGCACATTCAGCTTCCCATGTATCACCAGTGACAAAATAACAAGCCACTGTCCTGATTCAGCTCCTTGTATCCTGGGCTCACCTTTTCTTTTACTGGGATAATAATCCAAGCTTGAGTATTCCTCTGGAAAAGTGCATTGTGGGGTTCTAAGGATAGGGCCTATATAATCCTAGTTGTAACAGCTAAAGTCCTTCCTGATCACCAACTAACTTGCAGCTGCTTTGCAGGTTATTTGCAGTGCCTTTGATATGTGGTTGGGTTCATGGAGAAGCAAATGGGGGGAAACATTGGAGCAAGATCCAGGATCTGCCTAAGATATCACCTCTTCACAACTGTAAGGAAGATGCTAGGTTAGGAGAAAAGTATTGCCCAGTCAAATGGCAAACATATTAATGATTGCAAAACTAGAAGGGTGCCTCTCCTTTGCTTTTTGCTTGACGGGCATTGTGAGTCTGTTTGGTTAACAGATAAACCCTTTCCTCCACCCCTCAGCCCATAGTCAGTGCTTTCTGAAGTAAGCTTTGAATTGGTTTACCATTTGCATGGCTGTGTGAAGCATGTCATAGAATCATAGAATCATAGAATCATAGAGTTGGAAGAGACCACAAGGGCCATCGAGTCCAACCCCCTGCCAAGCAGGAAACACCATCAGAGCACTCCTGACATATGGCTGTCAAGCCTCTGCTTAAAGACCTCCAAAGAAGGAGACTCCACCACACTCCTTGGCAGCAAATTCCACTGTCGAACAGCTCTTACTGTCAGGAAGTTCTTCCTAATGTTTAGGTGGAATCTTCTTTCTTGTAGTTTGGATCCATTGCTCCGTGTCCGCTTCTCTGGAGCAGCAGAAAACAACCTTTCTCCCTCCTCTATGTGACATCCTTTTATATATTTGAACATGGCTATCATATCACCCCTTAACCTCCTCTTCTCCAGGCTAAACATGCCCAGCTCCCTTAGCCGTTCCTCATAAGGCATCGTTTCCAGACCTTTGACCATTTTGGTTGCCCTCCTCTGGACACGTTCCAGTTTGTCAGTGTCCTTCTTGAACTGTGGTGCCCAGAACTGGACACAGTACTCCAGGTGAGGTCTGACCAGAGCAGAATACAGTGGCACTATTACTTCCCTTGATCTAGATGCTATACTCCTATTGATGCAGCCCAGAATTGCATTGGCTTTTTTAGCTGCCACGTCACACTGTTGGCTCATGTCAAGTTTGTGGTCAACCAAGACTCCTAGATCCTTTTCACATGTACTGCTCTCAAGCCAGGTGTCACCCATCTTGTATTTGTGCCTCTCATTTTTTTTGCCCAAGTGCAATACTTTACATTTCTCCCTGTTAAAATTCATCTTGTTTGTTTTGGCCCAGTTCTCTAATCTGTCAAGGTCGTTTTGAAGTGTGATCCTGTCCTCTGGGGTGTTAGCCACCCCTCCCAGTTTGGTGTCATCTGCAAATTTGATCAGGATGCCCTTGAGTCCATCATCCAAGTCGTTGATAAAGATGTTGAATAAGACCGGGCCCAAGACAGAACCCTGTGGCACCCCACTAGTCACTCTTCTCCAGGATGAAGAGGAACCATTGATAAGACCCTTTGGGTTCGGTCAGTCAGCCAGTTACAAATCCACTGAGTGGTAGCATAGTCAAGTCCGCATTTTACCAGCTTCTTTACAAGAATATCATGGGGCACCTTGTCAAATGCCTTGCTGAAATCAAGGTAGGCTACATCCACTGCGTTCCCTTCATCTACCAGGGTTGTAATTCTGTCAAAAAACGAGATCAGGTTAGTCTGACATGACTTATTTTTCAGAAATCCATGCTGACTATTGGTGATCACAGCATTCCTTTCTAGGTGCTCACAGACTGTTTGCTTAATGATCTGCTCCAGAATCTTCCCTGGTATTGATGTCAGACTGACTGGGCGGTAATTATTTGGGTCCTCTCTTTTCCCCTTTTTGAAAATAGGGACAACATTTGCCCTCCTCCAGTCTGCCGGGACTTCGCCTGTTCTCCAGGAATTCTCAAAGATGACTGCCAGTGGTTCTGAGATCACATCTGCCAGTTCTTTTAATACTCTTGGATGCAGTTCATCTGGCCCTGGAGACTTGAATACATCTAGACTAGCCAAGTATTCTTGTACTATCTCCTTAGTTATTCTGGGCTGTGTTTCCTCTGCTGAATCATTTGCTCCAAATTCTTCAGGTCGGGCATTGTTTTCTTTATCGGAGAAGACTGAGGCAAAGAAGGCATTGAGGAGTTCAGCCCTTTCTGTGTCCCCTGTTTGCATTTCACCATCTTCTCCTCTGAGTGACCCCACTGTTTCTTTGTTCTTCCTTTTGCTACGAACATACCCATAAAAGCCTTTTTTGTTGCTTTTAACCTCTCTAGCAAGCCTGAGTTCATTCTGTGCTTTAGCTTTTCTGACTTTGTGTCTACACATGCTGGCTATTTGTTTGAATTCCTCTTTGGTGGTTTCCCCCCTTTTCCATTTTTTGTACACATCCTTTTTTAATCTTAACTCAGTTAAAAGTTCTTTAGATAGCCACCCTGGTTTCTTTAGGCACCATCCATGTTTCCGTCTCATTCGTATTGCCTGAAGTTGTGCTTTTACTATCTCCCTCTTAACAAACTCCCAGCCATCATGAACTCCCTTTCCTTTTAGTATTACTGTCCATGGGATCTCACCCAGCACTTCCCTAAGTTTTATGAAGTTGGCTTTCTTAAAGTCAAGAAATTGAGTCCTAGTATGCTTGGCTGCTCCTTTCCGCTGTATAGTAAACTTCAGAAGAGCATGATCACTCGCGCCTAATGATCCTTCCACTTCTACCCCACTAACCAGGTCATCAACATTGGTTAGGACCAGATCTAAAATGGCTGTTCCTCTTGTTGCTTCACCCACTTTCTGGACAATGAAGTTGTCTGCAAGTCCAGTGAGGAATCTGTTTGACCTTATGCTCTTGGCTGAGTTTGACATCCAACAAATATCCGGGTAATTGAAGTCCCCCATTACTACCATCTCCCTTCCTTTTGCATGCTTGGCCATCTGTTCCAGGAAGGCATCATCTATGTCCTCCGTTTGGCTTGGGGATCTATAGTAAACTCCCACAATGAGGTCTCTGTTATTCTTCTCTCCCTTAATTTTGACCCAAATGCTCTCACTTTGGCTTTGAGGTTCTAAATCTTGGATCTCTTCACAGGTATACACATCCCTGACATATAACGCCACTCCTCCTCCTTTCTTGTCTGGTCTGTTTCTCTGAAATAGATTGTATCCCTCCATTATTACATTCCAATCATGGGACTTATCCCACCAGGTTTCAGTGATGCCTATTATGTGTACCTTCCCAATATATATTCAGCAAATGAGGGAGCGTTTCCCTCACAGTCTGGAATTATTATAGTGGGAAACCGTAGTAAGATGCTGAAGCTGCTCAGACAAACAAACAGCATCCAGATGAACAGGTGAATGAATGAATGCGTTCTAAGATACGCAAAGGTGTACAAAGCCATGGTCTCTGAGCTTTTATCACCATCTGCCGTAAGCTGCCAGGACACAAGCATTTTCTTCAGCTGTGCCTACAGACTTACACCCACTTAAAGACACTGTTGAAGGCAATGCTTTTGAGGCAGCTATTCAGGGAACTGATTTTAGTTACTATGAAAGAGCAGCAAAATGTTATTTATTAAAACTTTACTTTTACTCCCATAGACAGACAGACACTTGTAGGGTTTTCTGCCTCAGGTGCCAAAATTACTTGGGTGGCTTTGGTCATTATGCACCTTGATGGGAAGAGGGCGCCACCTCAGGCAGCAAAAAGGCTTGAACTGTCCCTGATAAAAGAGCCAGCAAGCCTGAATAGGGGGAGGACCACAGATCTCAGCCCCTTTTACAAGCCGCCAAGATATAGCTTTGTGAAAGCCCATCCATGTAGCACTGCAGTGTAGTTCCCCACCCCCACCCCCCAGTAGAGCGAACCTGTTCTGAGCTGGCAACAGACTGTGAAGAAAACAACCCTTCTCCCCTCCAAAGCCCTTGACAAACACAAATAAAGCCCTCTTGGGCAGGGGGCATATTGAGGTGGTTGCTTTTTTTTTTGAAGAAAAATTTTATTATCCAACAGCCAGTTTTACAAGTTTGTACCCTAAACAAATAAAGAAAGGGAGGGGGATAGAAACCAAAAGGCAAAGTTACTGTCAACAACTCATCATTGCTTGGTACTATAGATCCATATGGCACGTGAACACCATACTGAGAACAGCACACAAGGCAGGGCATAGGAATGGGAAGGGTCCTCGGCAGTTCTGTGAATGGCCCCAGTAACCTGGGGTGGGGGTGGGGGTGGTACTGTCTACATGCTCAGCATCCTACATCCCAGGGATGCTGCCAGCAGTTGGATGCAGGTTTGGGTGCAGATGCCTGCACCTTGTGGCCTGACATGTCTCAGATGGGATGCCTCTTCCCAGCTCCTCACTTGTATGGTTCTAGATGTGCCTCTTGCAGCATAGCGCTGCAGAGTTGGCCAAGTCCCTCTTAAGAAGAATGCTGGTGCCAGAAACTCAAGTTTCTCTGTGTGTAGACCTACTAGCATGCCAGATCCACAAGGCACCTAAACTCTTACAGGGCTTGGCCCCCATGTCTTGCAACTGGAAGGCTACTTGTGAGCACTGGGCACTGTAGAAACCCCTCTATGGTCAGTTCCTGTACATGTCTACTTATTCCCAAAGGGGAACTGCAATAGACTGATTCAGAGCTAGGTTTGGGCAGGCAGAGCTCTTGCTAATACAATGACAGTATTGGACCAGTTCTTTCCCCTGTTCCATTTGTGGAAGTGCCTTGAACTGAATTTGTCACGAATGCTTGTGTCAGCCAAGTGAACCAGCACATTGATACCACTCATTGGAACCTGGTTGAGGTGAAGATTGTACAGTACACCCTCGAGAGAGAACAGCCGGAAGTCGTACCTCTTCTTGCAGACAGCAGACAAGCACACTCTGTCTCTTCTCCATCTGTATTGGTACACACAGGTCCTTTTAAAGAGCCAACAGTGTGGTTCTTTGTTTGTGGAGAAAAGTTCTCTCTCCCAAGATCTGCACATGATACTGCTGGCTTGTGCTGCCTAGGGGCAATCCAGATTTAAGGCAAGCCCTTCCCAGCTGAATGGGATGGCATTAGAAGGAAAAGCCCCGCAGCCACCACTCCACCAGAACTTTCTAGCATGTTGGTCAGCTTCACCATGTTGGCCAATCTGCATTGCAAGAGCAGAATGCTAAACCTGTGTGCGTCCAGCTGGCTTTGGACCTCATCTCCCATCAGGCCCATCCATCAAAGCCAGTGGTCTAGGATGATGGGACGTAGTCTAACAACACCTGGAAGGAAGCAGGGCCCTCATCCCAGATCTAAGAGAGCACTGAGGAACAGCGAGATTCTTCAGGCCTAGATCCTCTCTTCACAGTGTTGCAGTTAGGATGCTGAATGTTGTTACAACTAAAAGGACATAAATTCTGCCCCTCTGTGGGGAAAAAGCCCCAAACTTCCTAGCACCTGCATTTATAGTAGGACTGCTTTTTGTTTTTAAGTGGGGTTGTTCCTTGAGGAGGAAATTTGGCTGAAAACTCCCATCCTGCTTGCCTTAGATGCACACTGGGAAAAGCTGAACCCAAATGTCCTCCTTCTGGGCAATGGTTAAAGACACAGAAGCCCAGCCAGATAAAAAAAACTTCGGAAACTATAATTCACAGAGAGGTGAGGAGACTTGTAAACAGAAATCAACACGAAGTCTTCTGGCAAAATCAGGGTAGTACTACAAACAGCAGAGGTGCTCTCCAACTCTATCAAAAGTGAGTGTGGGTGTCAGTTTTTGGCACTACATTTCACAACTGAAAACATCCTTGAAGGAGGTGTACCTAGTGCAGCTACTCTGGAGGAAGGAGCTCCCCTCCAAAAAACAAGTCTTGGTTTCCACCGTGTAAGTGTCCCCTGCTCTCTTTTTACACAGTGTCAAATAATCTCTCATCTATGCCTTCACAGATTTCATTTCTTAGGGGTGAAAGCCACAAAACCCCAAATCCCAATGCATAAAATATTGTTGGGAGGGGGCGGGGAATGGGGGAGGCAGGAAAAAGAAATCAGCATCTTCAAGACACCTTCAGAGAAACAAGAACCTGATTTAGAGTAAACACAACAGAGTAAAGAGTGTTTTGTAAAAGCCCCCATATTCCAACACATATGAATAAAATACCCCACCCCACCCCAGATCTCTTGAAAAAGTCAGGAACATAAAAATGAGCCACGTTTCTGATGGCAACAGGCCTCTTTGCTCCCGGGTGGCAGGGGAATAGCATTGACAGGAAAAGGGGCTATGGCACGCACGCTCACATGCACACAAGCCAGAGCACGCATCGAGCCACACTCTCGCACACAAGACGCGGGACCTTCCAAATTATTAGTTTCTCAGGCAAGTTGGTCGGGTGGCGGCATCAGCCTGTAATGCAAGATGCCACCACTGGGACTCAGCAGGACCCTCTAGCAAAGGGAATGGAGGGATCTGAGGGACTTGCCTTGAACAGACTTGCAGGGCTGCAGGCAAAGGTCGAGAGTGCAATTAAGAGGAGATTAAATATTTCATCCAAATTCTCTCCTGCACAAGGATGAGCCTGCTTACTCTTATTGGACTTTTCTCCCAGCCCCTGCTTTCTCTTGAAATGGTCCTTTAGAATAGGGAAGGCAGTCTGGTGCTGGACTCAAAAGGCAGTGGACTCTCTCCTGTCAGGGATTATTTAGCTTTGATTCCTGCAACTGGGGGGAGGTTGGACTAGATGCCCCTCAGGGGTCCCTTCCAACTCTACAATTCTATGATTCTATAATGCCCCAAACTCGTTATATTCTGTGCAATCAATCTCCACAGCAAGAACACTCAAGTTCTGTGGGCACCATAAAATTATGCAACTGAACAATATTAGGCAAACTTGCTTATTTTGTTTAAAGTTGTTCAATTGGATGGCTTTCTCAAGACCTGACACATGATCATTCAGCCAAAATCACCTTTAGAATGCTACCATGCTGCTACCCCTAAGTTAAAACATATACTGTACTTCTAGAAATAATTGTGAAGATTTCAGACTGTGTCTTAACCTATTGGCACTGGGAGGGGGGAATCCCAATCTATGCACATGTTCTCTAAAAGCTGTGATCTGGCAGCCCCTACTACTAATCCATTCTAGACCCAAGATAGGATACTGCTAGTACAGCGATCTCCACAAATGCTACACCAAACTTTCCTAAACATGGGTCTCCAAAATGTCTGAGAGCCGTCTCCAGTCTGTAGCAAACAGACAAGTTGCTGAGAGCCCTGCATATAACCATCTGAGCTTGGCACTGTGAAGACTACATGTCCCAGGATGCAAAGCGGCACTGCCAAGCGTGTGTGGCAGTGTAAGCGCTGCTGGCTGAGACATGTCAAGTGCTTCAGAACTGGGCAAGGTGCTATTTGCTTGTAATATATAGGGTTTGGCCTGCATTTCCAGGAGACATCAGGGGTGTTGAGTGCCGTAACCCTGGGGACTTGAGAGATTCAAAAGGGACCGTCCCACACATTGCCTGAGAAACTATGTAACATTTGCACGTTCCAACTGCTATAAGAAAACCCTAGAGTTGGCCTGGGCCCCCCTTCACTCCACAGTGGGTCCTCCTCGGGAGCAGCAGCGGGGCCGCCGCACATTCTGCAGGAGTGCCCTGAAGACGCTGGGCTGCCTCTTGACCTCCCCCTTGGGGGGAGCCCCCTTGATGGAGCTGGCACGGGTGCTCTGAGGTGTCATCACCATTTGCCGGCCATGCTCTTCAATCTGCTTCTCCAGGTGCTTCTGGATGGCCATGCCCAGCACCTCCACCTCCATGGAGGCGCCGTACACTTCCCACGTCATGCCCTTCTCGTCCCAGCTGACCTCCCGCACCGGCTCGGGTGTCTCCTCCTGGGCCCCTTTCACGTGCACCTCAGGGTAGGTCGCTTGGGGAGATTTGGTCACGGGAGTCATGGGCCCCGTGGCCACGGACCTGGTCTCCACCGGGATGGACACCTGCATCTCTGCATCTCTCTTGGCTGGCTTCTGCTCCGGGCCAGGGCTCTTCAGAGAGGAGGCCCCCAAGCCCCTTGTGTGGAAAGTGAAAGCCGAGGAGCCGTCGGGCGGGTTGATGGGGCTGACGGCCACCGACACCAAAGACACGCGATTGTCAACTTGAGTCCCAGCGTCGTGCTGGGGGGGAGTGACCTCAAGTGAGCAGGTTTGGGTGAGAAGTTCCACAGACCTCTTCTCGACGTCTGTTGTGCGCTCCTCACTCACAGCCACACTGGTCATTTCTGGTGTTTGTTGTTCCTGAGCTTGGTTTTGACCCTTGGACTCAGAGGGTGTCACTTCTCTGAGCCCTTCCGCCTCCTTGGTGGCTTCACCTGGGGTTGTTTGTGACTCACCTGATGTGCCCTTGGCTTCATGAGGAACGGCAGCCACAGGGTTTCCTGGCACTCTACTGGAGTTCCCAGCTGTGTTAGCCTCCGCAGCAGGGAACCTCACTTCCCTGCTATGGTCCCCCAACTGGTCTGTTTCTGTCGCTGGTCTGCCTGACTTCCCTGATGTGGCTTCAGCTGCCAAGGGGTCTTGAGTAAACTCCTTGGGAGCTTCTGATGCGAGGGGACCTCCGTGTCCTTCACTCAAGTGGTCCGCTGCTTCACAGACATCACTGCTGAAGTGTGATATATCTCCCTTGGAGGCACCTGGCTGTCCTTGGCTTGTGTTTTTCAGGCATGTGGGAAGTGCAGGACCCCCCTCGGAATGTGCTGTTCCTGCTTGGATGATCTCAGCCTCAGCGGTTTTTTTGGTTGGTTCAAGAAATGCCACATGTTTCAGGGAGGCTGGTGCACTGGAAGGGTCCTTGTTGGTTGCCTTTAGGCAGGGCTCTGCCGGGAGATGCGTACCGACATCTCCAGGAACAGCTTTACTTTCCAGAGGGTTGCAGGTATTGGATAAGCTACTGGGAAGATCCCTGCAGCTTGAGCCCTGCTTGCTGTTGTGCCGCAAGTCATGATGGGCTGCCCGTTCCCCGTCCTCTTCCAAGGTGGTTCCTCCAGCCGTTGCATCTTTCAGAACCACGGTACCTGTGTCAGTGACTAGTTCCATGGAAGGCTTTGTGGCTACAGCTGGTGCCTTCTCCTTCTGGTCTGGGTTGTCCACCATGGTGTCTTCTTGGCTGCCGTCTTTGGTGCCAAGGTCATTCACACAGCAGTTCCTCATGGTGAGATCTCCTCCGTCACATCGGGTGTGTTGGAGACAGCTGTCTTTCTCCTGACTGCAAGGTAAGCTGCTGCTGGGCTGGGGAGCATCTTCTGGAACTGCATCTTGGTTCAACAACTGCAACGCCTCTGGCTGCTTAGCACTGCCCATCTCGAGACAAAACTTCTGCCATGCTATTCCATGCACCTCTCTTGGAGGACTCTAAAAGGGGAGATAAAAAGGGGTGGGGGGGGACACAGTAAATTTATGCCTATGCTGGAAACTCACTCAAACACACCATCAACTCCAAGCTATTCATGTTTGGAGCCTTCTGTGTCTAAGGTGCCCTGGTATACTCTAGGTCTATCTGGCACATGTGTGGGCTTAAGACACAAGCACAGGATCTGGTAGCTGAAAAAGAATTTGGCATCCTGAAGATTCTCAGAAGGGTGTTGGGGGTGTTTTTAAAAAGCAAGTTTCTAGTCTTCATATCTGCAGAGAAAGAGCTTGGAAAACAGGCAGGCATTTCCTTGGGAGGGTTTGGGAACCAGGAAGGTGGTTTTTTCCTCAGATTAGGATATGGAGCAACAGGGCACTTTCAGAAAACCCATTTATTGAGCGTCTATTCTGATTTGTTTGCAGGGAGGTGATCTGCTATTTCAAGAGCATTCTCTCCATTTTTGGTGGGGATGTTACCAAGCACCATCCTACACTTTCCAGTACATTCCCATCACTTTTCTTACTGCCAAAACTTTTGAGGGAAGCAAATTTGTTGTGCCAGACTTCCCAATCAATTGGAAATGGGCAACCTGACTTTTTTGGTGAGTGATTTAATCCCACCTGAGAGCACAATAGTCTTGGAAGCGCCCTTAGTTTTGTGGATCTGGGCTCATCTCCCATGGCTACTGCTCCTTGTCCACAGACTTCCAATTCTCCACAACCCTTTACCCCTCGATCCCTTCTTATTTTTCTTCCTCCCTTCCATGCCACCTTTGTGCTATAGCCAGGTAGTGCACAGTTTACTTGGTCAATTCATTATATACTCCTTTGAATAATAGCTGAACTACTTCTACAACTTCTGAGATTTTTAGGGTGGAGGTGCATCAAATAACAAAGAGAAGGCTCATTTTTGCCCTGTGTTCTCTAATGTGTTGCCTCTTGAATGTAAGGCCTCATGAGCACTGAACGTTTAAAGCAGTGTCATTTCACTTTAAACAGTTGTGGCTTCCCCCAAAGAATCCTGGGAACTATAGTTTGTTAAGTATGGTGAGAGTTGTTAGAGGAGACTCCCATTCCCTGCACAAAACTACAGTTCTCAGAATGGTTTAACAATCAGTCCCTCTTCCTGGGTAACTCAGGGTTTTGTAGTCATGTTCATTTATTTCAGTGAGTCTGCTCTGAGTAAAATGTAGTTCAATACCACCCTAAGCACTTCATAGTTGGAAGCCCCCCCCCATGGGTCCAACCCCCTGCAATGCAGGAATATGCAGGTGACCCATATGGGGATCGAACCTGCGTCCTTGGTGTTATCAGCACCATGCCCTAATCAACTGAGCTAACATACACTATTTCATCCACTAAGGTAGATCAGTACTGTTATCCTCATTTTACAGGTGGGAAGCTGAAGCTAAGAGAACATTAGTTCCCCTAAGGTCATATACTAAATACACGGCAGAGGCAGGATTTTGACTAGTGGTTTCCTCATTCACAACTCAGCCTTGTAGCCACATTACAACATTAGTCCCTAGACTATAGCCACCTTTGCCTGAACGGTACAGGAAGTATCCATCACATATGGACAATCATATATTCAAAGGGTAGCAGCTGATTCATTCAGCTAATTGGGTGGGAGATTTGGTGGAGGAAGTTAAGAGATTTGAAAGCTGCTCAGCCATGTCACAATTCAAGGAACTTGATTCCACATCCCCGACAAAAAAATAGCCCTATAAGTGAATGAACAAGATCAGGTCTATAGTCATTCCAGTGACACAAGCAAACTGCATGCCTCTAACTAAACTGCCAGCTGCTGTGATAATCTCCTGCAACATTTGCACACACAGGCTGGCCACATGATTTGTGCGCATATATTCTGGCACTGAAGCCTGCAGAGATTCCATGGCGACAACGGAGAAGAGACATTTGGTTTGGAGGTGGTGTGTTAACAGCAAGCAAATAGTAGAAATCCCATTGTAACCACATATAATCAACTGCCGGCACCCACCCATTAGAGGATGCTGCAAACTCTATGGGAATACTTTTGAGATTGCTTAGAGCCTTGGCCACGGCAACTGCAGGAGTAAAAGAGCCTGAAAATATAATATAAACAAAGACATTATAACTTCAATTACACACCTCCCCAAAAAGAACGGAAAGGAAGAAAACAGAATTTATAAAAATTGTAGCGGAAGGTTCAACCTCAGCTCTCCAGCAGTGGGACTAGCAAGGCAGCTCAAGACCACGTGCCACCTGAGATGACTTTCTTTGGCACCTTCTCTCCCTCTCAGGTGCACTCTCATTCCTATGGCTGTTCCTGATGCCAAAGCAGCAGCAGTGCCACGGCAGGTTGAAAGTAGATCTGCCAGCTGGGCTCATTATGTACCATCTGCATGGCTGGTATGTGAAAATGTCAGCATGTGAAGGCGAAGTGAGGGGCAGGGTAGGTATGAATATAGGTGGCCATACAGAATCCTGACATATATGGGTGGGTCCCAACTACCTACTGCTGGAATTAGAGTACGGGGAGTGGAATCGAATCTGGAGATGGAACCTGCCTAATTTCATTTGGGCCAGGAATGGGGAACTTGCAGCCCCCAATATATTGTTGGACTTGACTCCCATCATGTTAAGGAAAATGAAAAAATTCTCCATGCATCAGCAGAAATTGTACCCCACCCCATGCAGCTACAGGCATCTTGTGACTATCTTGTATGTGTTGCTGGGCAAACTAGCATGTAGCACCAGGTAGATAAGGGCTCAAGTTAAAGGGGAGTACAGGAAAATCTGCTGGAGAAGTGGAGACTGTTGAAAGAATCCTGTGAAAATGTGAAAGATTTTGAGAAGAGCCCATCTGAGGAAAGTGGGTCAACCTGCAAGACTTCTGGACTCAGAGAATTCGGGCAGTTGCAGGACTTTGTTAGCAACTGGACTTTGCACTTGCTGTGTGGACCTCTGTCTCATGAAGGACTTCATAAGCTGGAACTCTCTCTGGGCTCAGAGAGTGAAGACTTCTTGTAGCAACTATGTGTTTACATAGCTCCTGTGGTGAGCCCAACCGCCCAACTGAACTTGTTGTTGTTGAGTCGTTTAGTCGTGTCCGACTCTTCGTGACCCCATGGACCAGAGCACGCCAGGCACTCCTGTCTTCCACCGCCTCCCGCAGTTTGGTCAGGCTCATGTTTGTAGCTTCGAGAACACTATCCAACCATCTCATCCTCTGTCGTCCCCTTCTCCTTGTGCCCTCCATCTTTCCCAACATCAGGGTCTTTTCCAGGGAGTCTTCTCTTCTCATGAGGTGGCCAAAGTATTGGAGCCTCAACTTCACGATCTGTCCTTCCAGTGAGCACTCAGGTCTGATTTCCTTAAGAATGGATGCGTTTGATCTTCTTGCAGTCCATGGGACTCTCAAGAGTCTCCTCCAGCACCATAATTCAAAAGCATCAATTCTTCGGCGATCAGCCTTCTTTATGGTCCAGCTCTCACTTCCATACATCACTACTGGGAAAACCATGGCTTTAACTATACGGACCTTTGTTGGTAAGGTGATGTCTCTACTTTTTAAGATGTTGTCTAGATTTGCCATCGCCTTTCTCCCAAGGAGCAGGCGTCTTTTAATTTCGTGACTGCTGTCACCATCTGTAGTGATCATGGAGCCCAAGAAAATAAAATCTCTCACTGCCTCCATTTCTTCCCCTTCTATTTGCCAGGAGGTGATGGGACCAGTGGCCATGATCTTCGTTTTTTTGATGTTGAGCTTCAGACCATATTTTGCGCTCTCCTCTTTCACCCTCATTAAAAGGTTCTTTAATTCCTCCTCACTTTCTGCCATCAAGGTTGTGTCATCTGCATATCTGAGGTTGTTGTTATTTCTTCCGGCAATCTTAATTCCGGCTTGGGTTTCATCCAGCCCAGCCTTTCGCATGATGAATTCTGCATATAAGTTAAATAAGCAGGGGGACAATATACAGCCTTGTCGTACTCCTTTCCCAATTTTGAACCAATCAGTTGTTCCATATCCAGTTCTAACTGTAGCTTCTTGTCCCACATAGAGATTTCTCAGGAGACAGATGAGGTGATCAGGCACTCCCATTTCTTTAAGAACCTGCCATAGTTTGCTGTGGTCGACACAGTCAAAGGCTTTTGCATAGTCAATGAAGCAGAAGTAGATGTCTTTCTGGAACTCTCTAGCTTTCTCCATAATCCAGCGCATGTTTGCAATTTGGTCTCTGGTTCCTCTGCCCCTTCTAAATCCAGCTTGCACTTCTGGGAGTTCTCGGTCCACATACTGCTTAAGCCTGCCTTGTAGAATTTTAAGCATAACCTTGCTAGCATGTGAAATGAGTGCAATTGTGCGGTAGTTGGAGCATTCTTTGGCACTTCCCTTCTTTGGGATTGGGATGTAGACTGATCTTCTCCAATCTTCTGGCCACTGCTGAGTTTTCCAAATTTGCTGGCATATTGAGTGTAGCACCTTAACAGCATCATCTTTTAAAATTTTAAATAATTCAGCTGGAATATCATCACTTCCACTGGCCTTGTTATTAGCGATGCTTTCTAAGGCCCATTTGACTTCACTTTCCAGGATGTCTGGCTCAAGGTCAGCAACCACACTACCTGGGGTATATGAGACATCAATTTCTTTCTGGTATAGTTCCTCTGTGTATTCTTGCCACCTCTTCTTGATGTCTTCTGCTTCTGTTAGGTCCTTTCCACTTTTGTCTTTTATTATGGAAATCTTTGTACAAAATGTTCCTTTCATATCTCCAATTTTCTTGAACAGATCTCTGGTTTTTCCCATTCTATTGTTTTCCTCTATTTCTTTGCATTGCTCGTTTAAGAAGGCCTTCTTGTCTCTCCTTGCTATTTTTTGGAAATCTGCATTCAATTTCCTGTATCTTTCACTATCTCCCTCGCATTTTGCTTGCCTTCTCTCCCCCACTATTTGTAAGGCCTCGTTGGACAGCCACTTTGCTTTCTTGCATTTCCTTTTCATTGGGATGGTTTTA